CAACAAATGTTTGATTATCAAACTTTCTATCTTTTTCTGAACTTTTGTCTATACGCTTCAGGTACTAATTCATATGCTTTTAATATTGCTGCTTTGACCTTCTCATAGTCTGAACTTTCAGCTACTCCTAGTGCAGAGTATACCTCAGCTGCTTTGCCAACCAGTACACTTTGTAACATTGTTGACCAAACGTGTTGTGGCCATTTAAGATTTTCTGCGACTTTCTCGAATTGGGGAAAATACTTGTCTACAGATTGTTCTTGAAATTTCGGAACTAACCTAATATTTTTTGCTGCATCAAATTCATTCTTGACAAAGGAGGGTTCTGGTTTCTGCTGTAATCTTAATTTCTCTAACTCAAAGTGCTCTTGTCTTTCTAATTTGTCTAATTCAAATTTCCGTTAGCACGCTCTCGTTCTTCTCTTTCTCTTTTCTCTTTCTCTGTCTCTTTCTCGCTCTTCTCTTTCTAATTTTTCTCTTTCTAATCGCATTTTCTCTAACTCTAATTGAAACTGATATTCTGCCATTTTGTAAGAGCCTAACTCTGTTTTAACTGTATATTCTGGAAGATCGTATTTTTCAAAGATGTTTTCTTCTACTAGTTTGTTTGCAACCTTAATTCTAATGTCTTGCTTTCTCTGAGAGGATTTAACATCTAACCCAAAATGCAAACCTAATGCGATCAAGTCATCCTTTTTTAACGTATCAAAAACCTGAACACTTGGCGAACTAAGAAAGTTTGTGACCGAAAATACCATGTTGATTTTTGCTGGCTTATAGTCAAATTTAACAATTTAATTAACAGAATTCTGACAATGAACTGCAAAAGTGCAAGAAATTCTTGATCCGGACGAGCCCCCCAATTCTGTTGTGGGTCAGAATAACCCTAAATGCCAGCAAAGATCAATCACACAGTTTTAACTTAACAATAAATTCTCTAAATATCAATAAATCAGCTGGCATTGACTTTATTGGGCCGCGTCTTCTAAAAGTCGCATCCAAATATATATGTAAACCTTTAACTCATCTTATTAATGCTAGCATAGTAAGTGGTATTTTCCCGACAAATTTAAAACAAGCCAAAGTAACACCTATATTTAAGAAAGGTGACAAAGCTGACCCAAACAATTATCGACCCATTTCTATTTTACCAACTATATCTAAACTGATAGAAAAACATGTAGCTAAGCTAATACAAAACTTCACTAATGAATTTGATCTACTAACACAATCCCAGTCGGGATTTAGGGAACTCCATTCTTGTCAAACTTCACTTACAAAACTAACAGAAAGTTGGCTTAATGCAATGGATTGTGGTGAACTAATCGGCATTACATTTATAGATTTTAGTAAAGCTTTTGATTTGGTGAATCACTATATTCTTCTAGAGAAATTAAATCATTACAAATTTGATCAAACAGCTATAAAATGGTTTAAGTCATATCTTTACGACAGGACCCAGTGTGTTAAATTTGGAACATGTGTCTCCAATATTCAACCCGTCACAGCAGGAGTGCCACAAGGGTCAATTCTGGGCCCTCTTTTATTTTTATTGTACATAAATGACCTTCCATTACATGTAAACAATTCAAATATTGATATGTTTGCTGATGATGTTACTCTGTATTCAAATAATCAAAATGCACGATGTTTAGAAAATACGCTAAATGCAGATCTTTGTGAGATTGAAAAATGGTGTGTTCAAAATCAAATGGTTTTAAATGTAGATAAAACAAAATGTATGTTAATGGGAACAAAGCAAAGAAAATCAAAATTAGATAATCCAAATTTACAACTTTATGCCTCAGACAAAACAATTGAAATTGTTGAAACTGGAAAAATTCTTGGTGTACATATTGATGATAAGTTACAGTATGCAAATCATATTGACTCAGTTTGTAAAACGGTTAATTATAAGTTATTTACGCTTCGTAGGATTAAATTTCTCCCTCTTCATACCAGGAAACTTTATTACAATGCTTATATTTTACCATCTATTAACTATTGTTTGACTGTTTGGGGTAATGCCCCCAAGCAGGACATGGACAGACTATTTAAATTACAGAAAAGGGCAGCAAGGATTATCCTTGATGCAAGTCCTGATTCTTCTTCTAAACCACTGTTTGAGAAACTTGGGTGGTTAACAGTTTATGAACTAGTTGATCTATACAAATACATATTATTATACAAAATTTTCAGTGGAATGACTCCCGAATATCTTCGTAATTTATTTGAATTTCAGTCTTCAACTTCTTATAACCTGCGATCCGAAACTAATTATGATCTTAGATTACCAAAATTTCGTACAAACTTATTCAAGACCTCTTTTCAGTATTCAGGTGTACATCTGTGGAATAAACTTCCCCAACAAATTAGATTCTCTCATTCTCTACAAACATTCAAGCGTAATGTGGAAAATTACATTATCAGCTGTCGTACAATCATTTAAGCATAATAAGAGTTCAATACCGTATATTGTACTGTTATTGTTAAGATGTGTCTGTATTTGAACACTCTATTCATAATTCAGTGATTGTAATTCTCAAACCTATATAATATGTACTAAATTGTATGTGAATATGATGAATTGTATCTTGATGACGTGTATATATTTTGAATTTGATATATGTACATATATATAGAGGGCCCTGGGGAAGAATAGTGCATGCACTAACCAGGTTACCTTCTTTAAATAAAGTTTTATTATTATTATTATTATTATAATTTATTTACAGTAATATACAAATCATTAAGTACAAACTTAGCAAAAATCTAAAAATACATACATCAGAGTGTCCGTTGCTGCACACAATGTCCCAGTGAAAATATATCCCAGTTGTAACTCAATGGTGCTCATACGACAAGAGTATATCTATGCATCGAATTGACAGGGTATTTATACAGTAATATAAATCTAGAATATTCTAGAAGTTGTAACTGCATGATATTCCTGGAAAGTTCTGGACATGAATAAAGTTCAAGAATGTTCTAGAAAAAATGACCGAACATGTTGACCACTCTGGAATGTTCAAGAAACTTAATGTTACTAATAATATACATGATGAAATAATACAAATACAACACACCTCACAACAACAAAAACTGTATATTAAGATTCACTGACCATCTGATGTGAGAGATAACTCCTACATTAATAAGTGTTTGTTTATTGTTTGTTTGTTTGTCTGTTACATTCAAATGCCTTGTATTACATTAACAGAAACTGTATTATATTAACAGGAATTCTATTACATTAACTTGAACTCTATTACATTAACAGAAACTCTATTACATGAACAGGAAAACTATCACATTAACAGAAACTCAAACACTTTAACAGGAACTCTACCACAATAATAGGAACTCTATTACATAAAGAAGATATCTATTTTATGAACATGAACTCTATCGCATTACCAGGAACTCGATAAGATTGCTCAGAAGGAATGGGACTTTGAGGCTGAGAAGAAAAATATTGCAAGTACATGTATTAAGGTTCAATAACCCCCTGATAGGAGAGAAAACTTTTACTTAAATAAATGTTTGTTGTTCTTTTCTTGATCTAGTAAAAATGTAAATTTTGTCAGTTTGTGAATAATTTATTAAAAAAATAATGGAAAGGGTAAAGTTTATGTAGAGAATAGGATAGATCAGGTACTAGAAAAAGCTTTTCTCACAATGAATGAGATACGATTTGTTAAAAATTTTCCTCTCAAATAAAGTAATTCAAGGTTGTTGTTTTTTTTTCGATATCGATTGTCGGCATGTGCGTTGCTCTTTGAAAAACAGCAATATCAGAAAGATACCGAGATAACAAACAATATTCAACATCCAGAAAACAAAGCAAAAAAAGGAGCATAGCAAACACGGACCTTCGAAACATCACAGATGGAAACAGGTGCCATGGAATGACCAGTTGAAAAAAAAATTAAAATTGTTTACTATGGACAAATTATTGCTCATTTGAAATGATATACAAATTATTTCAGGTTAAAATGCATTTTCTACTTCTTGGAATTAGTGCATCATATCTTCAAATGGGGATTCTATTTTTATTTTTTTAACCTGCCATTTTTTGGGGGGGGAAGGGGGGGAGGAGGTGTGAACCTTGAGACTGAAGTGTTCGGAAAGTTAAAACTTTTTAAAACTGAATGATGAAAGTAAATCTTAATTCTCTAAGATTTACATTTCCATTTTTTTCGGGAGGGGGGGGGGGGTCATCTCAAATGATGTCAAATTTTACAATTGAACTCTATGGGAAAATGTTGGAAATGCGCCAAATAATTACATTTTCCATATTTTTTTTTCTATTTCTGCCCTAGAGATTTCTTTTTCATTCAAGAAGATCGAAGGCATAGCTAAAAGTCACAAAATTGTGTAATTTAGAAATAGACTATCTAGCTTCGTCTAGGAATTAATTACTAAGTTTATTTTTTCAACGTCCAATACCTCTTAATTTGTCACTTCAATGTATGAATACATATCAGTGCAGATGAATCATTGGCGCATGAAATAAATAATCTGCACCAATTCATGCGCACTTGATAAGACTCGGCCTCATTAAATATCTACACAGGAAATATATCAACAGATTACACAAAAATACAATGAAAGGCTGCAAACAGAATTCTGCATTGTGTAGTGTTTAGAGCATCCTTAAGGCTAGACATCTACCATTTAGTTTCCGTTCAGTGAAACATATGGACATTACAAACAATATTCATAATCAAAAGTTCATAAAACAATACGATATAGGTATAGAGCAATTATAGAATAATTACACTGACCTCACAGTTATCTAAATGATATACTAGTAGTTAAATTAATTTAGAAAGTAGTCAAGATCATACAAAAAATTTTGCGTTCCTGACCTCTCTTTCGTGTCCTTGACATTATCTTGTACATATAAGATTCCTCTAGGTTCCTTGCCTCACCAGAGAGATAATCTGACCACGCCTCTAGGATTTGCAATTAAATATTCGTCACTTCCGGGAGCGGGAATGGGCGCATGGGCGGAGACCTTTGTTCCGAAGTTCACGATTCTCGGTTTTCATGAAGGACTTATGCACAATGTAGACAAGAAGGAGGATTTTTATTCATGGCAGGTAAAATCACGCAAAGAATAAAACAGAATGAAAACGAAATGAAGTTGCATAGTTTAGTTACATATTCCTAGTCCCCTGTCGGCGAAACCCGATGGACTAAAGGTTGACTCTGCTTTTGTCCCCCGCCTGTCCGTCTGTATATTTGTCTAGCTATCCGTCCGTCTGTTCAACTTGCACTTTTCCTCCTACATGTAAACCATAGACATGTAAACCCTGGCAAATTTTGATCTGATTTTAAGTTGCCGATCTAGTTTTCATTCTGTTACGATTCAATGATTCTTGAATTTTTCTAAACACTTCCAGACATTGAGCTTATTTCTGGTGTATGTTGCTTGACGTTTATGAGTTATAGATCTTTTTTTTTATTTTTGTTAAACTCTAATGATTTCTGAAAAAAATTCAAGTTTAGAGGGAACAAGATTACACTCACCTGTAGGGGACTGGTATTGCTAATAGAACACTCTCACAACGCTTCATTTTTTAGATTCTTTTCATCCCTAAATATTCATTAACTCAAAGTAATTTTGATCAACATGGATATGATTGTCATCAAGTATAAAATATATAACATATTCTGAACTAAAATTCATTCTTAACCATTAGGATCTTATTGTTTTCAAAGGTAGATAAACAGGGTACCTATGGTACTTACAACATAGATTCAGAAGATCCGGCCTGTAGAAACTGGTTACGATTCGTCAATTCTCCCGCCAAATATCAACAGGAAAATGTCGTTCCTATCACGTGCGAGAGCATCATCTTCTATATGACGTCACATGACGTATATCCGGGTGAAGAGCTTCTGGTCTGGTGTGGGGATGGATATGGGAGGTTTTAGGCGTAAACCACATACATCCGGGTAATTGAACAATACATTTTATGGTTTAATGTTTCCATCTGGGTATTTAAACAATTTACTTATGAAATAACTTGACCATATACAATGTGGCCATTAAAACATTTTTATACCCACATGAACGAAGTTTCGGGGGTTTATAGTTTTTGTGGTGTCCGTCCCTCCCTCCCTCTCTCTCTCTCTCTTGACATTTTGACCTTGACCTATGAGTTTGATCTAGTTTTACACAAAAATTCCAAACTATTAGCTTTGCCATATCATTGGAATAGTGGATACCAAGATTGTTATATTTTACATATAATTCACATATTTATTTTTTTAAAGAAACTTTTCATTGGATACCAACAACTTTGACCTTGGAGGTTTTAGTACTTGCTTTTGCTTGGCAATAACGTTTGAACGGTAAGGACAAGACCTTTTATTTGATATTAAAAACCTTGATCCTTTGACTTTGACCTTGGAGTTTGACATATTTTTACACAAAAAATCCAAACTTTTACTTTGAACCTAATTCTTAAACGGTAGCTACTAGGAATATCATATTCTAAACATCAATTCTTTGTGACAAGAGCTTTCTATTGAAACTACTAGTTTTGACATTTTGACTTTAGATATTTACGTATTAACAAGAAAACTTTCACTTTGGCCATAACTTTTGAATTGTAAGGTTTAGGTCTTTCAATCTTAATTTATGTAGTCATTGTGTGAAAACCTTTCATTGGATAACACTTTTAACACCTTGCCTTTGACCTTGGTTTTTGATCTACTATTAAAAACGCTTACCTTGGCCGTAACCAAGGGTGGTACAAGGGTTTTCTATGTCAGATGTTTATTTTATGGAAAGGCCTTACTTTAGTTACCAACGTATTTGATCTGCATTTGAGAAAGCATAACCTTCGCCATGTTGCCATATGGCGGCATCGGTGTTTCACAGACACATTTTGTTATTACATGCTGTCGATTCTTAGGAGGTTTTAAGGCGTAAACCCCATAAACCTGGCTATATATGTAAGCAACTTATTCATAACATGCTTTCATTTTTATCCCAAGCGTACATTAACAAAAAAAATATTTTTGTCAAATTTCTCTAATTTGTATTTGATCAAAACATTGATATTCTTTCATCAGAAATTATGTACATCATATTTAATCTCCTTTGATAAAAAAGTTATATTGTTATTTTATTTATTTATTTTTTTGTTTGCTTTCTACAAACCTGATTTTGAAGTTTAAATAAAAAACTGCACATTAAATCTGGAAAATATATTTCTGCAGTATATTAAAATTGTTTATTTCTAATTTCACCCATAAACATTATATTCCCTTTTTATTTAAATTGAAATATTTGCATATCCACTGCCCTTTCCCACTATGAACATGCAGCCAGCAACTGCGTTCATAAAGCTATAGACGCAATTGCTATGAGTGCAATTGCTCTAGCTCACTCGTGTAGAACAAGTTCTACTACACATATATATATCGTGTTGAGAAGTATATATATATATATATATATATATATATATATATATATATATATGAAGTGTTTCGTAAAAGCACTAGAAATAAGTTTTTAATAATATTTTTTAGAAAAAAAAG